GCAAAGCTGCGGGCAGGGCCGGTCCTGAGAAAATATGGGCCCTGTGCAAAAAACAAATGTGGCATTTTCCTAAAATAACTCTTATTTAAAATTTAATAATGCTTATAATATTAAATTAAAAATTAATGTATCACTATCTAAAATAGAATTCATAAATGTAAGATGTGTTTGGAATTGAATGGATAATTTGTCAAAGTAATATTTTTATAAAAAATTATAAATATAGTTGATAAATCTAATGAATATTTCATAAATATCTAATTGGTTATTAATTTAATAATGGCATGGAATACAAAAAATAGTCATTACTTTGATTACATATTAATTTCAATAATTGTAGTTGATGGTATTGGGCTTAAAATCTTATGAGTTATATCAATAATACTTTGGTACAAAACAAAAATTGAAAGAGTGTTAACATCAACCAATTTGGTTGAGCTGATTCGCCGCCGGCGTGTGTGAGAAGGTTGGCAAGGCTTCGATTCCCCTGGCTCAAAACTTTTTAATTAAATAGTGGGATTTTACTCATTGGGCTCTAATTAGTTAGAAGGACTACAAAAAAATTGGGCCTTCAGGATTTTCGGACCCTGTGCGATCGCACAGGTGGCACTTGGCCTGGGCCGGCCCTGGCTGCGGGTTTCAAACATCGATCACTTGGTCCAATTTTCCCACAACTCGACCAACTGAGCTACCTGTGCGGGTGAATACTTTAGTTTATCATCAGTACTACCGCCGCTTTGCTGACTCAGTCACCGTGATTAACATCTCCACCATCCTGTCGGCTCGGGGTGGGGGGTCTTGGGGTTGGGCATTCAACCTTTTGGACCAACATAATTGTGGTATACATAAGGTTTTTTTTTAAGTCTGTACAGACATAACGTATTTTTTAAATACGTTATGTCTGTACAGACATAAAAAAATCTTACACAGACATGTGTAAAAAGTGTGTACCGACATAAAAAACCCTTACACAAAAACCATATCCGAGCAAAGAAACCCATCTAAAGTATGCATAAACTGCTGGTCCAAAAAAACAAGTATGTATAAAGTGTGTTTAAAAAGTGTATAAATTTGAAAAGTTGATCAAAAGTAGCTGATCACGTATTGTAAAGAATTTGTGTGAAAATATACGTACTTTATTATCCAACAAATGATTAATAGGTTAAGATCATAATAATAATTTGGTTGTTGTAAATAAACAATAATGAGCGTACTGTAGTATTATTATTATTATATGACTGGAGACGAGAAGTGACTCAAGTGAGGGAGGGAGGGACGGACCATGTAAGAGTGCAGACAAGCTGCCCATTGGCATGTAATCATAAACGAGAAGCTTCTCATCCCCGCTGTAGAAATATGCGGTGAGGGGCAGCAGATTCTCCCCCCGCATCTTCCCCACTCCCTCCATCTTCTCCCGGAACTCCTCCTCCCTCACCCCCACCTCCCTCAGCCTCTTCACCACCACCCTCACCCCCTTCTCCAGAACCGCTTTGTAAGCCGTTCCCAGGCTCCCCTTCCCCAGCACTTCCGCCGACGCCTTCAACAGCTCATCCAGCCCGAACTTCCCGCCCTCCCCGCCTAAGAACACCAGTTCCTTCCCTTTCTCCTCCTCTTTCCCGCCAAACGCTGCCGGCGCCTCCTCATTCTGCTTTCCCTGCTCCACTCTCCCGCTTCTCTTTCCGCAAAGAAACAACACAATCAGAACGAGCACCACTAGTGACCCGATGACGGATCCCGCCACAATCCCGCCAATTGCACCGCCAGACAGTCTTTTCTTTCTTCCCCGCTGCCAACCGCAGAGATCCAGTGGCCGTCCGCATAGTGAATTGCCCTGAAACGCACTCCTCGGCTCACCGGACAGCTTTCCCGGAATTTCACCCGTGAATTGGTTGTCGGAGACGTTGAACTGGGCCAACCCGGGCAAGTCCAGCTCCGGAATCAACCCCGATAACCGATTCTCCTGCAAGTAGAGGGTGGCCAAACGAGTTAGATTGTTGATGGAAGGTGGCAGGGAGCCGGAGAAGTTATTGTGAGCAAGGTTGAGGTGGACAAGGCTGGGTGTAGAGAAGAGAGATTCCGGGATCCTTCCGGAGAAGAAGTTGCGGTGGAGGTACACGCGGCGGAGGTCACGGAGAGACGTGAACAGGTCGGATGGGAGCGGGCCGGAGAGAGCATTGTACCGGAGGCTCAGAGTCTGTAAGGCCGTGAGATTGGAGATGGTAGCCGGCGGGATTGAGCCGGATAGACCCGATCCGGGGAGGCGAAGCTCCACAACGGATTTATTGTTGGTGGAGCATTTGATACCGGACCAAGAACACGGGTTGGGGTCGGAGAGATTCCAGGCAAGTGAGCGGCCACCGACGGCATGCCGGAGCGCTAAGAGGGCGGCGCGATCGGTGGCGAGGTCAGCAGTAGTGTGGGCGGAGAAGGAGAGAAAGAAAATGAACGGAAAGAAGAAGAATTTTGGGAAGCTCATTTTCGATCTGGTGACCGGAAAAGGCGTGGGAAAATATGATTTTTGGCAATATTCTTGCGGAGGAGTATGCTTCTTCATTCATCTAGTTTTCACTTGATTAAAAAAAAAGTCCAAATCGGCCTGTGGCTGTCTAGCTGTGGGTAGGTCATGACACGGCTGGCGCATTAAAAAAAAGTAGTGTGCATGGTCGGTTCATACTATTTTCTTGGATAAAGATTTGGGGAACTATATACAACTCTGTCATCTCCAAAAAACCAACTATATATATATATATATATATATATATATATATATATATATATATATATATATATATATACTCCAGGGGAGGGGGTTGGGGGCCCCGGAGTAATCGGGATTGAAACTCACTCCTTTGAGTTTCAAACCCTTATGTGTCTACCGGGTTTCGAACTCGAGACTTCTCACTAGGCACGTTAATCTCACAACCAGCTGGACTGAAATGCTTGGTTAGGTTTTATATTATGAATGAAATCCTTATGTATTTGAAAGTCTTTTATTATAGATATAGCTATCGGTCTTGTAAGCCTAATCATTATTCTCACATATTATCAAAATTATAAGTTTGTAGTCACATTTTATATTTGTATTTTTTTTCCGGAACAATGTTTGGTTCTACTAGCGTTGTCATTGTCTCAATGGTTGCATCATCCTCGTCAGCCATCTTTTCCCAATTTTCGACGACATTTGAGCATGCCGCATCATCTACAAACATTACGGACGCCTTCTCCCTTCCGTCGTCGTCTTCAATGTTCTCAGTTCCATAGTCGTCTAATCCCGCCATGACAAATTGGGTTTCACCTGGACGTCGTCAATCCCAGCGTTGCAGTCGTTGTCTCATGTTGCTTGATGGAGTATATGGACTCCGACCCCCCGGTCTGCCGACTACTGGGCTTGGACAGTGGCCCACACACGTTTAGCAGATATCATTCATATTATTGTACATTATTATTGTTATTCAGATGTTCTAGATTAGCTTTTTATACTATCAGTTCATTTATGTAACCGGGTCTGTTAGGCCCATATTAGAGGCCCAGACCCGGATTCTCCCTATATATACTCCTTATAGGAGGTTTGTAAAGATGACACACAACTCATACAACTCATATCATTTCTACTATTCATCCTTCTACTCCATTTACCAAGTTCAATCTCTCCTTTTCATACAATATGGGTATCAATTATCCAACATTGCTCATTCATCGGACTTCAACCCTTCAGCCATCCCCATAATTCCTTTTGTTGTCTAGGATTGATTCGCTGGTCCCACGTTAACCGGTTTTCCGTGGCTCCTTACTCCTCTGTCTCTCGGTGTCATTGGTTCTCGTGGAACCAATTGTTCCCTCGTCATGCCGTCGTTATCCACCCTCTCTCAACCCTGAGGTTTTTCGATTCTAACATCACCAACATCGTTACAACCAAGTTGATCGCGATTGAAGATTAGTTGCCCAGACGGACTCAATTTGAGTGCTTCTTAGTCTCTCATGGTCTCCTTGGCTTCTTGGACGGTATTATTCGTGCTCCCTCTCTCAATATGATTGACATGCATCGTCATGAGGTAATAAATTTTTAAGAAAAAATGGAAGGCGTATTACTACTACCCTTTTCATTTCCAAAAATATAACAACTTTGACTATTTCCAAAAAAGTGACCCGTCAAGCAGTTCTCCTTCGCACCTTTGCAGCTGGCATAACATTTCCCAGCGCCGCACCTTCCTGCTCCGCCTCACCATCCCAAGTCGCTGTTGCGCCGCTGTTGCGCTGCCATTGCGTGGCCGTTGCGCCTTACCGTACAGGTTTCTTATAACACCGTCCCCAATTATATTTACTTTTATGTAAATCATGTATTGAACCTTATGAACTGGTTAATGAATTTACGAGGTTGAAAATTTTTGTTATTACTTTTTGCGTGAATAGTGAATTGCACGCGGGACCCACATCGGGAGCGGAGACCAGCCTATATTTCCGAGACCACATATTATATTCATCTTGGTCTAGATGATGTGTATATGGTGGTGAATATTTTAGTTGGGCCATGGAGAGGCCATAGCGTTGACCTATTGGTCAAACAAGGCCCAATTACTAGTATTGGTAATTTATCGGATAATAGTCCGAATTGGATTTCGGAGGCTTTTAAATTAAATCTAAGGAAGGTATATTCATTCTAAGAGCCCATATGAGTTGAGAGTGTGTGATATATTTTATTTGGCCCGATAAAATAGAATATAATTAAAACAGTCTGGGAAATCCAACTTTCGGGGCCAATCGTACACATCGGAACATAACGAGATGACTTCCCACAAGAGTGGGGGCCACCCCACGTTTTTTTGAGCTCAAAGATAACAAAGGGGGGCTTCAAAACATGGGTTGTGAGGTGTGTGTGGGCTCAGGGTGATGGTTGGGTGAGAGTTGACCTAAGGTGGGCCTCTCTCCTCACTCATTTTCCATTTGAGACAAAAGGAGTCTTCTCACCCCCTCCCCCATTGTTTTGTGCGTCCAAACCACCCCAAGAAAAGAGAGAAGCTCTGCAAACACCATACTCCATAGCTAAATTCGGACTCAAGCTCAAAGGATGCAAAGAAGGAAGTTTAAAGAGGAAAGAGGGAGGAAAAAGTGTGGTGATTAAGGTAATGACCTTATATTAACGTTTCCTCTACTCTTTAAGTACCATATGACTTATATAGCATATGAGGAACCCCTATGGAAGCCATACATGTTTAGAAATGTAGAATGAGGGGTTGGAAGGTAGTTCTAAGTCCAAGAACGGACTTAGAAGCCAAAGTGACCGGTTCGCCAGAAAATAACCTTTTAAAGGTTATTTGTTTTGATATAGGTTTTGTGATGATAAAAACTTGTTAGGAACTTGTCTAAGGAGTTCCTAGAGCTTTCACGGAGTTGAAAGGGTCGCGGGAGTCGTCACCGGAGTTCATCAAAGTTCGCCGGAGTTTCGCTGGAGTTCAACCGGGAAGGGTAGAATTTCATAAAGCTCATTCAAAGTGAGTGGATGGCTTAATGTCTTGTAACTCTTGAGTTAAGTATGAGATTACCTAAGTAAATGCTATATGTGTTCATAATGATGTTTAAAATGGTTTAAGCATGTGATTAGCCAAAATGATTAAGCTTATATGAGATGAACCATAATGATTATGCATAAAAAATGATATGAAAATGATCTAAAAACATGTGTGATGTTTTGGATGGCCAAAATGGCAAATATTGATTGTTTAAGACTCAATTCATGTTTAGGTTAAGTTTCGGATCAATCGGAGTCGGTTCGGGCAGTCAACGGGTCGTTGACCGCAAAGAAGAAAGTGAACTGGTGCCGGTTTAGGCTATAACCGGCGCCGGTTTGGGCTATAACCGGCGCCGGTTTGGTACTGTTTTGTCCCGAATGTTGATTTTCATGCATGGGTTTGCATGGATTGTTATGCTTAGGCTAGGAGACTTGGTTTAGTCTTGATAAATGATTATGATGTAGACCCTATCTGTGTATGATATGTGGTAGATCATAGGAATGGATATATAAACGGTGGAGACCCAAAGACGACGGTACTGTCCTCAAAACTCGGTATATAAACGGTGGAGACCCAGGGACGACAGTACTGTCCTCAAACCTCAAAAGTATAAACGGTGGAGACCCAAGGACAACGGTACTGTCCTCAAACCTCGGTATACAAATGGTGGAGAACACGGGACAACGGTACTGTCCTCAAAACTCATATGTATAAATGGTAGAGAATCCAAGGACGACAGTACTATCCTCAAACTCGTATAAATTGACTTGGACCATGAGGAGTCCTATACACTCATAGGATATGGGTGGGTTGGAATTTAAGTCAAGGCTATTGACCACTATGATTTTCACAAATAAACAATGACCTACGGGTCAGGTATTTCCAAGTGTATATATATACTGATATTTATTTTATAACTTGGGGAGAAGTACTATACGTGTATGTATCACCCTATGTTTGGGTCTTATACTTGAAACGTTAGTTATGCTACATTTAGCTTGCTACTCACTCGGTACTTGTACTGACCCATTCGGGCGCCCCACCATTTTTAGGTTGAAGCTAGGGCTTGCTACTTGCACCTTCTAACGGGTGAAGTCAATTCAAGGAAGACGTGGTTCGTGCTTCCTTATTTCCTTTCAAACTACCAAACACTTGCTCATGGATATTTGATTCACTATAAACTATTTTGGGCCCATGAGCCCATGTTTTGGCCGGTTGTGGCCCATGCTTTATCGTTGAATATTTCCACTATTCATTGGTTTAAATGTGATGTTGTTATGTATGTTTACTACTGAGTATGGATGGATTATGTTCATGGACGCCTTGTATGATTAAGTCACGTTGACTTGCTAGTGATGTCACTTGGTCATACTGGCGGTTGTACACGCGCTTAGATGCGGTCTGGGCGTGACAATTAAGTGGTATCAGAGCCATCTCAGTTCTAAACTACGTAATCAACCTCTCACAAGAGATTTTGCAAAATTTTTTTTACCGAAAACCATGAGCATTGTATTTTGACGTTCATAGAGCTATTGTTACCTAGGTTGCAAGGTCTCTAGTTGTTAAGATGGTACCCTTAACAATTGGTATGGAGGTGACTTGGGCCAATATGTGTCTATAACGTGTTCCGTCAATTGACATTGATTGGAGTCTAACGACTCGTTCAAATTTCTTTGTAGAAATGGAGGGTAGACGTATGCCGACGAGAAACAACCCTAGAGGACTAGCTGTGGGAGCCTCTGTGGGGGCTAGCCAAGCCACATCCCTTGGTTCTAGGGGGAGAAGTGGAGGCCATGTAGGCCATGGGGGCCACCATGCCCAAACTGTGAGCGATGGCCACGTTGATTAGGTGTATGAGACTAACACCGAGAACTATGACTGGACCTATGTTCTCGAGACGGGGCATGAGGAGACCCCTTATGACGGGGGTGACTTCCACACCGACGAGGAAGACAATGATGAGAGTGACGCCCAATTCGCTCAAATGGGGGAGCTGCTAGAATGGTATCAAAAGGAGAAACGAAGGAGAGACCTTAGACGCCAAGCTAGGCGTGCCTCTCAAGGGGGTCGGGTCAAGGGAGACGGGGAGCTTCAAGGGCTATTTCAGGCGCGTCTCGGGATAGACGTGAAGGAGATTTCTGTGTGGGGATCTCCAAATACCTCAAGGAGGCTAGAGCCTTGGGGTGCAGGTCCTTCGACGGCACCGGTGATATTACCGTTGCCGCCGATTGGATAAAGAAGGTGAAAGATGCATCGAGAGACATGCAAATAACACCTGATGTGAAGTTGACTGTTGCTTCACGTTTGCTTGAAGGAATAGCTTCTACATGGTGGGAGAGTGTAGTAGGAAAGTACCGTGGGAATATCTCACGGGCAAACTTTGAACAGGAGTTCTACGCCTAATACTACTTCGACTACGAGGTAAATGTGAAGCGTAGGGAGTACACGAACCTCAAACAAAAGGAGGGCGTAACTGTCAAGCAATTGGAGCAAGAATTCTGAATCTTGGTGAGGTTCTTACCGAAGTATGCGGCCGATGAGGACCGCATGACCGGGCATTTTTGGGATGCCTTATTGTTGGACATCCGTGATCTGGCCACGTACTGACGCCACATGACGTTTAGTGAGGTGGTGGAACAAGGTATGCTTGGGGGAACCCAATGGAATGAAAGGAAAGAAAGAGACGCCGAGGAGGCGAAGAAAAGAAAGTGAAATAATTCGGGGCAACCCGATCATTCACGGAAGCACAACCACGGGGGCGGTGGTTCATTTAAAGCGCCGACACCACCGGTGTAGAAAAATAGGGACTCTAGATGGCATTCGTCCCCTTCTCATAAGCTAGGGCTGCCTAAGTGTGTCAATTGTTCAAAGAACCACTTTGGTAAGTGCAATGCACCCCCGAGGTGCTACCAATGTGGGAATACGAGTCACATGAAGGCTAATTGCCCGCAATTGGGGAGAGAAGGGACTTCGGGAGCCGGAGTAGGAACCATGATGGGGAGGAATCTTGTTGGACCGTCACACGGCGACACAGGAAGGGGCGGTGCATCAACAAGCCATGTCACGTCTGTCAACCAAGGCGGGGCCCAAGCACGGGTTTATGCAATGACCAAGGGCGATGCTCGGGCTAACCCCGACTCCGTCGCAGGTAATCCCTTTTTAACGCTTGATAAATTGTATATTGTTGAGTGTTAAAAATGATAGCGGGTCAAAACGGGCCGACCGAGGTCTTTACCGGCTGATTTTTAGCAAAACGTAGCAAAAACGGGCCTGCCCAGGGGCAAACCAGCGCCGGTCACGGAGTGAACCGGGACCGGTTTGAATTAAATTGGAGTACGCCGTACTCCAAGCGGCGCCGATTTGGGCCATAACCGAGGCCGGTTTTGATTAAAAATCGTTTTTTTTCGAAATGCCGAAGGTAAACCGGCGCCGGTTTTGCCCATAAACGGCGCCGGTTCAGTTCATTTTTGGGTAATCCGGCATCCCAGGGGAAAACCGGCACCGGCCCAGCCTAAAACTGGTGCCGGTCAAGTGCATTTTCGATCTGAGAGGGTCCGTTTAGCCTATTTTCGATCCGGTATTGCAAGTAGAGTGTCTTACATCATCTATAATCGTAGGAACACTACTGATCAATGGAAGAAACACTAGGATTCTCATTGATACCGGGGTGCAACGTTCATTTGTGAGTGAAACGTTCATCAAAAGTCTTGACGTGCCATTGACACCGATGACACAAACCTTGTTAGTCTCCACACTGTTAGGAGATGACATTGAGAGGAACCATTACTATCCATCATGTGAGGTAGAAGTGACGGGTCAACCGTTGACTTGTGATTTCGTACCTCAAAGTATGTTGGAGTTCGATGCAATCCTAGGGATGGATTGGCTCGAAAAGTATCATGCTCGAGTTGATTGCTACACCAAAGTCTTGGAACTCGAAGATGATGAGTGAAACATCTTACGTTTCGAGGGAGATCGGGGAAAATCTCATGGATGTATCATATACGTGATGAAAGCACGGAAGATGATGAAGAAAGGATGTCATGCGTACCTCGCATACGTGGTGGATGAGACAAAGAAAGAGGTAGACATCAACGATGTACGTGTCGTGTGCAAGTACATGAACGTCTTTCCGAAGGACTTACCAGGGCTTCCACCCGATAGAGATATTGAATTTGTGATTGAAGTAGAGCCGGGGACCAAACCCATTTCGATTCCTCCTTATCGAATGGCACCGGCGGAACTTCAAGAGTTGAAGGTCCAATTACAAGAACTAATTGACAACGAGTTCGTTAGACCTAGTCATTCATCGTGGGGAGCACCAGTACTCTTCGTGAAGAAGAAAGATGGTACACTAAGAATGTGTATTGACAACCGACAATTGAACAAGGTCACAATCAAGAATAGGTATCCTCTACCGAGGATTGATGACTTGTTTGATCAACTCCGGGGGGCGATGATGTTCTCAAAGATCGATTTGAGGTCGGGCTACCATCAGTTGAAGATCAGAGAGAGTGACTGATAAGTCCATTTTTGTACTTATTTTTCTTATCAAAATTAAGCGATTTTTGTATAGAAAATAGAAAAACAAGGCACGTTTTGGATATTTTGGTTCAAGTTTCATGAATTCAGGTGAAAATTACATTCATAATATGTTTGATGAAATTTCGGGCCAATTGAGCACAAAATGAGTCAATTTGAGTAACAAATAAATCCATATCTAAAGAAGGAAACAGAATATCAAAGTGGTCCAGAAGGGAAATTTGAAGAGCAGAAAATAAAGAACAAGCCGGTCAAATAAGCTCACAGGCGGTCAAACAGGCGGCCAGATCTGACCGCCCTCCACGCCGCCTATGGTATTTTTGGAAAGTGAACTTTACAACTTTGACCGGGACCGGAAAAGACCGAAGGCTGCCGACACTCAACGAAGGGCGGCCGCCCTCGGTGACCACCTACGACACAAGATGACGAAGCCAACGACC